CAGGGGAGATGTGATATTTTAAGTACCAAAAATAAATTGCTTGAAATATTGTAGAAAAATACTTAGGGGGATCTATTATTTTAGAAGTATACATAAGGGGGATTGTGATATTTTAAGTAAGAATTTTAGTTTCTTTTTATAGTACAAACATAATTTACAAGTGATGGATGTGATATTCAAGATAGCAATTACTACTAATTGGAAAAATTTTATGAATTACTTAGGGGATGTAATATTTTAATTATATACATAGGGATGTAATATTGGGGAATATTTAAGAAGCCTGTATAGGGAGATTTGGTATTTTAATTTAGAATTTTAGCTGTTATTTGCAAAATGTGCAGAGATTACCCAAACAGTCTTTTTTCATTTTCTTTTAGATTTAATTGAGCTAACAAATTAAAAATGTATTATTGTTCAATCAATTCATATGTATTGCCTCCGACAAGGTAAAGTATTATAACAATACAAGAAGTCACTAAAACTAGGAAAAAAAAAAATTTCACTCTTTTTTATCTATAAGGGCATAAACATTTAAATTGGTTCAATTTATGACAAAACTTTGAAGAAAAAGAAATGACTGCAATTTCAAAGTTTCATTTATTATTTAATATATATATTTAATACATTTGTATATAAATATGTTCACAACAAAATAAAGTTTCATTTCTAAAAACAATGCATCTCATACAGTACCATCGATTTAAATGCATATATCACATTTGATCTAAAAATAAATATTTAATGAACATTTTCCTATTTGAAGATTTAAAGTATTTTTTTCTATTTTAAGTTTTTATTAAAAAATAATTAAAATATATTTTATTACTCATTTAATTTTTTTTTTGATTTTTTCTAGTTTTTGGACCAATTTCACTTCCACAAATGCGACACAAGCTATTCTGCCAACTCTTCTGACCTATTGATTTAATTTTTCATCATTTTTTTTTGTCTTTTTTATAGATATCATTTAACATTGAAGTAGTATAAACATTTTCAGTTCTCTAAAGAATCTCACAAACCTCCTTTATCTCTCTTTCTGTATGCATTAACTTCTTCATGTGGAAAGACAACGCACAAATACTTCTCCATTTGTATAACTTTCAGCAAACTAAAATATGTAAGCTTATATATATATATATATATATATATATATATATATATATATATATATATATATATATATATATATATATATATATATATATATATATATATATCCATTACAGTTAAGACTTTAAGTTTTCTTAAGGCAGAATACTTCTAATGTTATACCTTCAGCTTGTATGGCATGTGGTAATGTTAATATTTCAAACTTTTCTGAAACACCATATCTTTGATGTAAGTAACAACTATTGTATAATAGTAAAAAAATTATAAAAGATGTAAATACAAATTTTGACATAGGAATATCTAATAATAATAATATCATACTTCCATTTCACTTCTTCTTTATTGATGGAATTTGTCTGTTCTCCCATAGGGTCCATAGAGTGAATTGTTTTATTACCTGGTTTGATTATCTAAAACACAAGTGATTTTCAAAATCAGGTTCAAAGTTAGGTTCCCTGTAAAAAAATGGGGAATCTAACCTATCACTAAAAGTTAAACTTTTTGTACTTAGAGAAATAAACTTTTTCAAAAAACAATTATACTATTTTACATACTGCAAGCGTCCAATGAAATTTTTCCACCATACAGCATATTAGCATATCTTGTTTAAAGCTCTTTCTATGAAGATATATATATGTGTGTGTGTGTGTGTGTGTGTTTGTGTGTGTGTGTGTAAATACTCTATAATTAAATTAATGAATCATTAATTTTTTTAGATAAAAGTTTTTGAATACCTTATGCCGTCTTCGTATTAAATCAGTTTTAATTGGCAATTCATCCAGTGAGAGTAGCCCAGCTGGCTACAGTACTTCGATTCGTGAAGACCTGGTGAAAAAATATGTGAAGAGTTTTAAAACATGTAATGTTTTAAAACTCTTCACATATTTTTTCACCAGGTGGGATGTTTAAATTAATTATTTAAATTAGTTTATATAAAAATCTTTATTTCATTCGTGCGCCACTGAATAATACATACCTTCTGTATCGTCAACTATGTAGCTTTTTTTCGTATTTACTATCTCTAGAATATTAAAATGAATAAAAACAAATTAAAATAAAACGCTAACAATTATATATGAATAGGTAAGTTTTAATACATACCTTCACTATCTTCAACTACAATGGTTTTTATTGGCTTCTCTGCCTTCTCTAAAAAACAAGCGATACTTTAAAATAAAATGCTAAATATTAAGAAAAATTAAAATTAAAAGAAAAAAAGAATTAAAAAATTAAAAAAAGAAAAAATTAAAAAGAAAAAGAAAAATTAACTTTTTAAATCCTACTTTTACCATCTTTTACTACAAAACTATTTTTTGTATCTGCCACTTCTAAAAAAACAATACATTACAATAAAAAGGTAACGCTAACAAAATGTAAAAGTGATTTATTATTATATACCTTCACTGTCTTTAGCTGCAAAGGTTTTTATAATTATCTGCCTCGTCTAGAAAATAAATTATAAATAAAATAAAATGCTAACAATTACAAATGAGTAAGTAAGTTTTTAATTCATACCTTCACTATCATTAACTTCAAAGCTTTTTGTTGGTGTCTCTCCCTTCTCTTGAAAATAAACCATAAAATAAAATAATGATAAAATATATGTTTTAACTATAAATTCTAATAAGAAAACAAATATTTTACCCGAGTATAAATCAAAAAACAATAAAAATTGTTTTCATATTAGTATTACCCGTACAAAGTTAAAAAATATTAGGCTTGAAGAAAAAATAAAATATTTTATAAATAGAATCAAAACTTTATTGAAGTCAAAGATATACCTGTAACTTTTACAGAGTAACAATATTTAAAAAAAAGCATTTCTCTTCTCAGCGTTTTTTAAAGACGTTTAAAAACCTGTATTATGCGTAATAAAATTTAGACGCCTTTGAATAGTTAAGGGTTTCTGAGTCAAGTGTCTGACAAAGATGTCTTTTAAACTAAAATAAGTGAACATAAACTCTCAAGCTCAACTAATATGTTTAAAAATATAATGTAACTTCACTTTGTTTTAGCTCATTTATTTTCTAGCCCTTATCTTTCTTTAAACCTTTTAATTTTCTAAACTGATCAAAAAGAGCTTCTTGGTTCCCAAAAAAGTTATGCCAAATATTGTGCGGCCGTGGCACAGTGGTTAGATCGTATGCTTAATAAGCAGGAGATCCAGGTTCAAAACGAGCTTTGGACATATTTTGCGTCATGGTAAGGAAGGAGGCGTGAACTTCCTGGTTAAATGCACTTCCGCGGTGCTCTGTGAGAAGATTGTTAGGACTTCTTGGGGTACCTAAATAACAAATTTAAAAATATATATATATATTATAAATAAGGACAATCTCTGTGCAGGTTTTTTTGTTATATTTATTATGGCTACACGTTGGTACTGGGCTCGTTGAATAAAAATTTAATCAATCTTTATTATAACAATTAATATAGTCAATTTTGTTACCTAATTCAATCATTTAAACTAAGCCACCCCGCTCTCGTCTTTTTTTCAAATTTGTTGAATTCAACACTATAAATCTGTCATTATAGAGATGATATTTGTTAGTGAAATCTTCTTCGAACAATCCTGCACTTTAGCATTAGCTAAGTGCATAAATACTATTGGGCAAGTATTTTTTTTCCACGCTATTCTAGCGTGGAAAAATATACTTACTCAATAGTATTTTTTTTCAAAATTTTTATTTTTACAAAAATGTTGTGTTAACATTTGAAAAAAAAAAATATATATATATATATATATACACTAGTGATCAAAAGTTTAGACTCAGAAAAAAAATCTCTTAAGCTTAGCTCTGAAAATGCTAAAAAAAATTTATTAAGATAATGCTTGAAATTTTTTTTTTTAATTCAACTTATTTAGTTTGTTTCTAACATAATTACAAAAAACACACACCTTTTATTTTATATATTGGTCTTTTTTTTTTATTTTATAATAATAGCGCTATTTAAAAACAAATAAAATGTGTCTCATAAATTTAGACTCACTTTTTCTATCTTTATTTCCATATAAGTGCTTAACCTTTTTTTTTAAAGATTGTAATTCTAACATGGATCAAAATATATTTTCTAAAATATTATGTTTAAATCCATTTAAAAATTAAATTATTTACTAACTTAGTGCACGCTAATCAAAATATACAATTTTTACTCATTATTTGCATTTAAAATATTTAGAAAATGGGTAAAACATCAGTATCAAAAGAAATCAAAGAAAGAATTATCACCTTGCACCTTGCTGGTAATTCTACAAGAAAAGTTCAGTTGATTCTCAAGAACGTATCACAGTCATGTGTCACTAAAACAATAGCTAAGTGGAAAAAAACAGGTAGCACATTAGATAAAATCAGATCCGGAAGACCCAGAAAAACAACTACCACTGATGATAATAGTATATACAGAATTGCCAGAAAAAATCCTAAGTATAGTGCCAAACAAATTGCTCAAGAAATAAATCTAGCTCTTAAAAATGACATCTTAAGGCAGACAGTAAATAGAAGATTAATTGATCGTAAACTATGCTTGTATACTGCTGCTAGAAAACCAATGCTTAAAAGATCAGATCGACTCAAACGGCTACAATTTTGCAAGAAAATTCTTAAGATGAGTGATAGTGATATAAAAAAAATTGTATTCAGCGACGAATCGAATTATGCAGTCGTTAATCGAAAAAAAAGAGTAACTGTTCGAAGACACCATAATGAGAAGTTTCATAATCGTTTCATTGTACCTCGGTTACAGGGCGGAGGAGGTTCAGTTGGGATCTAATGTAGACTTCTAAAATATTACATCCCCCTAAATAATTCATACAATATTTCAAATGATTGGTATTTGGTACCTAGAATATTGCATCCATCACTTGTAAGTTCTGTATGTACCACAAAAAGAAACTGAAGTTCTTACTGAAAATATTACATTTAATTAAAATATCATATCCCCTCTATGTTTACCTTTAAAATATTACATCCCCCTAAGTAATTCATACAATATTTCAAATGATTAGTATTTGATATCTGGAATATCGCATCCCCTCGGTTTATTCACTGTATATGTTGGAAAAAGAAACTGAAATTCTTACTTTAAAATATAACATCCCCCGGATGACTACTTCTAAAGTATTACATCCCCCTAAGTAATTTATAAAGTATTTTAAATAATTAGTATTTGGTATATAGAATATAATATCCACCACTTGTTATTTCTGTATATGTCACAAAAAGAAACTGGAATTTTTATTTAAAGTATCACATCCCCCCTATGCAGGTTTCTAAAATATTGCAAACGATTGTTATTTTTATTACCTAAAGTATTATATCCCTCATGTGTAATCTTTTTCTATAATATTGTCACACAATACATTACGATCAAAATTTTATAAATAAGAATTTAAATATCGTTTAATGTAGTGTTGTATTAAAATAGTACACAACTCTTGTTCGTTGAAAAGTGCTCAATATTTAAAAAAATTATTTTGATTATATATAAATTTCATAACAGAGCGGTTTATAATTAAAAACGAAAAAAGAAAAAACTTTTATTATGAAACTTTAAGTTTCATGCCTAACGGCAATAATCAGCCATATATTACCTATTACCATATATTACCTATTACCATATATTACCATATATTACCTATTACCATATATTACCATATATTACCTAATATATGGCTGATGATTGCCGTTAGGCATGAAACTTAAAGTTCCATAATAAAAGTTTTTTCTTTTTTCGTTTTTAATTATATATATATATATATACATATATATATATATATATATATATATATATATATATATATATATACTATATATATATATATATATATATATATATATATATATATATATATATATATATATATATATATAAATATATATATATATATATATATATATAAATATATATATATATATATATATATACATATATATATATTCATATATTTATATATATACATACATATATATATATATATATATATATATATATATATATATATATATATATACATATATATATATACATAATTATATATATATATATATATATATATATATATATATATATATATATATATATATGTATATATATATACATACATATATATACATATATATATACATAATTATATATATATATATATATATATATATATATATATATATATATATATATATATATATATATATATATATATATATATATACATATATATATATATATATAGAATTTTACCCAAATGAAGTCCTACTTGAGTACAAAGGAGAAATTATCTCAAGAAAAGAGGCAATCAAAATGCATAAAAAGTATGCCCAAGATAAAATAGGCTGTTATATTTATGATGTTGATTTTGGAGGTGAAAAGATAAGGTACATAAATTATATACGTTTCATTTATACACCGAGTTATGCTAAAGTTTAAAACTTCAAACTTCCAAGTTAAACCTCAAAGTTCCAATTTATTTGCTACATATTTGTAGGTCTATTTCTATTCATCTATTTTTTAATTATGTTTTTAAAAATAAGAAGAAAAATGAATAATATAGAAAACCTTTGACATAAACTTAACTGCCAGTAGATAAATTTTGATTACACTGTAAGTGATAAATACTATCAATCATTATATGAACGTTTATAATAGCTTCCTTTCAAAAACTAGTAAGTGCAGATATAATTTTTTTTTTTATGATATTTATGTGTGTGTGTATATATATATATATATATATATTCTTGCATGTCTCTTGCATGTCATCAAAAAAAGTTTCATAAACTGTAGTTTTAAAGAGCGCGTTAATAAACCAGACCAAAAAAGTTTTAAAAATTAAATTTTTTTTTTTAATTGATAGACTGCCTGGCCAAACCAAACCCTCAGTCGATGTAGCAGCACTCTCTTGCGAGTCAGGCTGTTTGCCAATCGTTGTAGCAGCACTCCCTTGCGAGTCAGGCTATTTGTCAGTCGATGTAGCAGCATTCCCTTGTGAGTCAGGCTATTTGTCAGTCGATGTAGCAGCACTCCGTTGCGAGTCAGGCTATTTGTCAGTCGATGTAGCAGCACTCCGTTGCGAGTCAGGCTATTTGTCAGTCGATGTAGCAGAACTCCGTTGCGAGTCAGGCTATAAGATAGTCGATGTAGCAACATTTACGCATGTTTTAAAAATGTTTTTTATTAAATCAATAACAAAAACACCACTAATTATAAAAAACTTTCTAGTCGTTATAATTGCGGTTTTTTAAAAAAAAATTTAAAAAACAATTAAATTTAATGTACTTCCGCATAAATTAATTGCTTTGACATTTCGATGACAATCAAAAACAGCTTAAGAGACGAGGTAATTAAAATTGTAGTCGTAAGAGACTTTTTTTACATTAAAACGCTCTTTCGACTACACTATATGGGTATATGTATATATATATGTATATATATATATATATATATATATATATATATATATATATATATATATATATATATATATATATATAATATATATATATATATATATATATATATATATATATGCTATCAGATGCACTTTTTCTATTTTAACAAGTTTTATTCTGACCTAAAACAGCAAGTTCTTATATTTTTGAGTGTGTATTGTAGCGCTTCCGTAATAATAATAATAATATATATATATATATATATATATATATATATATATATATATATATATATATATATATATATATATATATATATATATACAGCTGTACAAGCAACATAGCAAAAATTATAAAGAACCACAACAATAAAATTATTTCGATGAACCCAACGGCCACTTTAGCTTGCAATTGTAAACTAAGCAAAATCTGCCCTATGAATGGAAATTGCAGAAAAACAAATGTAATTTATAAGTGTATTGCATCATTCCTTAACACTTCTGACAAAACATACATTGGTTCAACAGAGGGCATGTGGAAAACTAGATGGGCAAGTCACAAGCAATCCTTCAAAAATAAAAAACTCACAAATGCAACCATGCTTTTTAAATATATATATATATATGGGATACACAAAATAAAACAAAAACAACACCCAATTTAAAATGGTCCATCATAAAATATGCCCCCGGGTACAACAACATAACCAAAAAATGCTTGTTATGCTTATACGAAAAACTAATTATTTTATTGTATAAAAATCCTCAAGAATTATTAAACAAAAAATGAATTAATATCTAAATGTCGCCATGAGAACAAGTTTTTTGCTGGACAACCACAAACCAAAAGATTAGATTTTTTAACTCATTTAGCATGAAACTAATAGTTGTAAAAAATATACAGTTTTATTTATAAATAATATATATAAATGCAGCTGTGTTTTAATTTAAATCATTTTAATTTACTTTAATTCATCGAGCACTCTCTCGAGGATATATGCAAGCACTAATACGTATACATATATATATATGTATGTATATATATATATATATATATATATATATATATATATATATATATATATATATATATATATATATATATATATATATATATATATATATATATATATATGTATATATATATATATATATATATATATATATATATATATATATATATATATATATATATATATATATATATATATATATATATATATATATATATATATGATATATATGTATTTATCAAATAATATTTCTTCTCATATGGTGCCCCACCCTAGGTATAACTATAAAAAAGTTTTAATATCACATTTAGACCACTTCATCAGTCCAATCAAATTATACTTTTTCCAAAAAAGTAGATTTTTTTGCTTTTTTTTACTCTTCAATAAGATCTAAACAATTTTTTCCATATCTGGTTTTTTTTAGTGGTTGAATTTTAAAGTTTGTAATGGCTACAGAAGGGTCTCAAAAAATGAGTTAGAGTTTTTATTCTTTAATATGACTAAAATGGTTGTTTTTCTTCATCATTTGACATTTACCAGCATTTATTATCTTTCAATAATGCCAGAGCATAAAAAAATAGTTTTATCACAAAAATAAAAGAGAATTTTCAAAATGAGTTTTCTCATTTTGAAAATTCTGTCTCTTGAACTTGTTGGCTACAAGGAAAGTGTCCTGTTTCTTCATCTCTTGGTAAGATTTGTTCATAAGCTCCTAGTTCAAAAAGATTATGTTATATGCTTGTTTAAAGTAGCTTTATTATTTCCACTTAGGTTTAAATTTTATAATATTTTGAAAAATATACCTGAACAAGTTTCACAGTCCTCTCATTACAATTATTAACTACCTCCAGATTTTTGACAAAATGTTCAAACTCCATATAACAGTCTTTTAGGTTTTATGTCTAAACTGGAGTTTTTAAACACTGCAACTCTGCCTTTCTATAGTTTAATGAAATATGAACCATAAGTTCAAAACATTTGTTGAAAAGATTTTTTGATTCAATAAAGTTGTTCAATAACCAACATATATAATAGAATCAGATTTAGAATTTAAAAAATAATTTTTGATAAATATTCTGCACATAAAACCATGCTGCCTTTTTTTTGCTAAATTTTACTTTAAAATATCCTTTAAGCATTGAGCCATATAATAACATTCTGACTAGGATATCTTTACATACAACATACAAATAAGAAAAAATTCCTTTTAATAAGTTGCAGTTTTTTTATTCACATTTTTCCTGAAATATTATTACGACAAAATCTAACATTGCTGTTAGATTTTGTCAGAATAATATTTCAGCTTTGCCGAGTATGCCTCTTGAGAAGTTAACGAAGTATTTAAGCTGACTATTTCTGTTTGCTAAATTTTTTCTGTGCGGGTCTTAGGATATGCAAGACATTATCATCTCCATAACCTGCATTGATAAAAACATATATTCATTTAAAGTACAAATATTAAAGGTATTTTAAAAATTTTGAAATGTTTATAATTAAAAATTCATTATAAGTTTCATTGTTGCCTGAAAAAATATTGATCACTTTGTAAAATAATTGACTTACCAGGGTAGTAGCAGTTTGTTAATGAAATTTCTAAAACTGTAGCAGGCTTAAAGTTTAATGTTATTAGAGGTTCTACAATTTTTTTTTTCTTGCTTATTTTCGTGAAACTATTTACAATGAAGTCAAATTTTTTTCTTTAACTGTAGTATTTATATATGCCAGTTGCTTATCTTAAACATAAATTTCAATTTTATTATTGTGAATTATTAGAGTTGCAAGCAAAAGAATAAATAATTTATTGTATAGCATTTGTACTATGGGAACTCTATGTTAAAACCCCATAAAGACCTGGATCTCTTTGCTTTTATTACAAATTGATGTTGAATGAACTGGCTCTTTGCATTCACACATGCAATTATAGTGAATTACTCTCGATTTCCACTTGTTTGGCTATGGATATTTTTAGTGAATTTTTGCGCAACCTCGTGCAGCATATTCCATATAAGTTTTAGTTTAACGTAAAAAGCATTCTTTAATATGAAGTTATTTAAATCACTATAGTACTTTGATACTTTATCTTTATCCATGCACTGATGTCAAATTAAAGCTGTACGCTCACGTTGTCGCAGAGCTAACTTATTTCCGTGACCGCTTTAACCCTAGTCACCACTGGTTGTTTAAAAGTTTTTTACTAAAGTCGATTTTATGCTTTGAGTCAAGTTTCCAAAGATAATTCAGGAACTGTGACATTCAGAAAATTCTCTAAAACTCTAACATTGCTTAATTGCTGGTATAATTGATGAGTTTATCTTCCAGAGCAAATGATAGGTAAGGTTTTATTACTAGTTTTGCTTCATTAAGAACTTTTCTAGAGAGTCTGTCTCTCTGTGTTGTACGTGGTATATTGTGCTGTATATTGTGGTATATTGTGCAAAACTGCTGCTTTATGAACTGACAATGATGGCTTTGATTTAGCGTTCTAATTGAACTCATCATATTTTCTTCACTAAATTTTAGGAATTTACCCTTTTTCTTAACAGTGACTAATTGATCAATAGAATGATTGGAACCATTAACACAAGATAAAGAAACATCAATTTTTGGTAGAAGTTTCATTTGACAAATGTCAAAAGCACTACCATTATATGTAAAACGACTTACATCGTGATAAAAAAGTGTTGTATTGTAACACATTGTAGCCTTAGTTAAAAAAGAAGTCTTTCGAACCAACATCTGAAGAGTCCTTTGTGATGATATACATCATCAAGCTCTTGTTTAAATAATAGTTATTTATATAGGTATTGTCATTTCATAACAATAACTAGAATATTTATGTTGTAGTATAAATGCCATGTTAATGTAATAAAATGCTCAAATTTACAAAAGCTAAAAACATTAACACAAGGCGAAAACTATATTTTAACATTTTTAATTTAATCCTTACCGTAAAACTTAATTTACAATGAAGTGTATAGGTATTTAATTAACTACTAAATTTTAAATTTTTTTTATCAAAATTTTAAAATAAAAAAAAATCATATATTTATCGCGTCCCCGGCAACTAAAAGTAAAGCTGAATTATTTTACTTAAGATATTCTACAAAGTTCGTGTAATCCTTCAAAAAAATATTAAAAAGGTAATATATATTTTTTTAGTTTTGAAAAATGTTCAAATCATTTGCCATAATAATTTTTGCATAGTTACATTCTTTCCAACCACTTTTCAAATGTTTTTCTTCGATAGGTATGCCTGAATGTATCTTTGTAATTTGTCTTTTTGACTTTCAACGTCTATTTCAAAACAAGTTTTGATGCAATCAAATGGCCAAAAATTTAATTGAGCTAAGTGTGGAACGTAAGGTGGGTGGCAAACTTTATTAAATTCGGCTTGATCTAGAAAACTAGACATTCATCGCTTTTGCGACGTGATATCTAATATTGTCATAAAGAAATTTCATGTTTTTTAAACATAAGGCATATCTTAGTTTGTTTATTTCTTATATAACTGGCATCAAGCAATTTTCAATGTAGCAATACATTGAAAATTGCTTGACGAAGAAGTCTTATTTTTTGTTATATAATCATTATGAACTATGGCTGTTGTCTTAAAGAAGATAGAATGCTTGTATTTTGTTTCAAAACGGGCCTGTCCTACTACTGTTGTTCTAGGAGATTCATCTTGGGCTGCCCAGTTTTCATTAGATGATTTGTGTCCAATCTGTCTTAAGGTAAACCATGATTCATCACTAGTAATAACATCACACAATTGCAGTTTACCTTCTCCAAGGCTTTACTCCTCTCTTTTTAATTTTTTTATATTTATTTGTGGGGTATCTAACGTAATGATAACTTTCTAGGCCTTAGTGAGACATGTATAAATTATCCTAATCTGTAACGGTTAATAGATGATTAATCAATAATACCTTCAAAAGTTGCATGAGAATAATCAGCAGTTTGCCAAACTAACTCGACATTTGCAGATGCATGCACAGTAAGAGTGTTTCCAAAGTGTGGATCATCATTTAAACTCTCTTTTCCATCATTGAATCAGGCAGCCCATTTGGCAACTGTTCTATATTTTATTACTTGGTCCTCATAAATCTTTTCGTTGGATATCACGTTTGATAAAACTCCAAGCAGACCATGAGTTTTAATATATGCTTTACATTCAAATTTAATCTTTTTAAAAAGTTTTTTTTCGAACTGCTTTTTTTAAAATTGAAATAATTTTTTTATTATATAAAAAATATAAAATAAAAACTTAACCAAAATCTATAGATATTAATTCTCTTAAAATGATATATAGCACAAAATTTCTTTAAAAACATGGTTTTTTAAACAAGTTGCACGGACTTTCCTGACATCCAAAGTTACTATTATAAAAAGCATTTGCACACCATTGAATCAACTAAAAGCTTTTAAAATTGTCAAAAAATAAAAACAATAACAACATTATTGATGTCGACACTGCACTAATTTGTTTTTCATCAAACTAAAAAGTGGTATAAATAACTATATATATATATATATATATATATATATATATATATATATATATATATATATATATATATATATATATATATATATATATATATATATATATATATATATATATATATATATATATATATATATATATATATAAATATATATATAAATATATATATATATATATATATATATATTTATATATATATATTTATTATTTATATATATATATATATATATATATATATATTTATATATATATATTTATATTTATATATATATATATATATATATATATATATATATATATATATATATAAATATATATATATATATATATAAATATATATATATATATATATATATTTATATATATATATATATATATAAATATATATATATATATATATATATATATATGTATATAAAATATATAAACCTTGCTCACAGCAATATATATCTATATATATATATATATATATATATATAATATATATATATATATATATATATATATATATATATATATATATATATATATATATATATATATATATATATATATATATATATATATATATATATATATATATATATATATATATCTATATATATATATATATATATATATATATATGTATATATATATATATATATTTATATATATATATATATATATTTATATATATATAGATATATATAGATATATATATATATATATATATATATATATATATATATATATATATATATATATATATATATATATATATATATATATATATATATATATATATATATAAAATATATATATATATATATATATATATATATTATATATATATATATATATATATATATATATATATATATATATATATATATATATGTATATAAAATATATAAACCTCGCTCACAGCAATATAAAACCATTATTTAATAATTTTTAAAGTTTATAAACTGGCCTGCACCAAACTACAAAAAATAAAAATTGATATTCAAAATTTTTAAGAACATTTTAAGTCTTGCATTACATTTTAGTCACACAAAAGATTTAAAGTATAATTTGAAATTTCAAATTTACTTCTAGCATTCGGAAAAGTATTTTTCCTTATGTATATATATATATATATATATATATATATATATATATATATATATATATATTATATATATATATATATATATATATATATATATATATATATATATATATATCTATATATCTATATATCTATATATATATATATATATATATATATATATATATATATATATATATATATATATATATATGTATATAAAATATATAAACCTCGCTCACAGCAATATAAAACCATTATTTAATAATTTTTAAAGTTTATAAACTGGCCTGCACCAAACTACAAAAAATAAAAATTGATATTCAAAATTTTTAAGAACATTTTAAGTCTTGCATTACATTTTAGTCACACAAAAGATTTAAAGTATAATTTGAAATTTCAAATTTACTTCTAGCATTCGGAAAAGTATTTTTCCTTCTAAAGATAGACTTTTTATGACTTACTTAGCATAGATTGAGTTTAAGTTTGCTCTGCGCATTTGTGCAAGTCAAATTTCAGATTTAAAGTATAACTTCATATTCGTTTTTTGCATGCTACCATTATAGTTACCATTATGTCTAAATGCCATTTATTGTAAATGTTTTTATGTCAATGAGTATGCAACTAAATTGAAAATCAAATGCTTTTTTATACTACAGAATCATGAACTGCCAATATGAAAGCTGGTATAGAAACAAATTTTAAATTATTTGTTGGGTAACCTGAAGCAGCTGTTTTTGAGTAAAAAAAATGGAAAACGACATAAACATTTTTCTTTTTATTATTCTTTTACGTATCAATTTGTTAAAGAAAAAGCTAGTGTTTATTTTTAATATTAAAAGGTATCATTTTAACTTTTTTCAAAAACTTTTTTCCAAAAATCAGTTAATTTTAAATTAATAACTTTGTAGAGGTTTAAGCATACAGGTCATTTTTTACAAAGGTGTATTCAGATTTTATATAAGAGCTCATAGTAGTAACAGAAGACATTAAAAACATTAATAAATTTTCAAATTTTTAAAAGTAATTAAAATTTTAAATACTTCTAAAGAAAAATAAATTAGGCTGTAGCTCAAATATACTTAAGTTTTTTATTTTGTTAAACTAAACAAACACACCATAAATAAATAAAGTGTTACCTTGAATTATACTGCAAGTATGAATTTTCAAAAAATGTAAAGTTAATAGCTCTCCTTTTTTTAGCCAGAGCTGTTTGTTCAATTTAATTACAAGTTATCTTAATTTTTTAGATAGTAGTAAAGTTGTGTTTTTACCAGGGTTGGCACCTAAAAACCCAAACCCAAAAGCCCACCCAAAAACCCACCCGAAAACCCAAGAGCAAAAACCTACCAAAAACCCAACTTAATGGGCTTTTGGTTTTTGGTAACCCAACTTAATGGGTTTTTGTATTTATAGTATTTTTATTCATAAATTAATTTTCATTCACACTCAAGATTTGATGCTGCTCAAAAATTATTATAAAAACAATAATTTTTGTGAATCATAAATGAGATTTTAATTTATTTAGAGTAGAAATATTCAAACCTAAATAGTTTAAAACAAAGTTATCTAACAACTTAGTCATCAGCAATTGTTCATCTTGATCTTAATGTATGTAAATTTGTACAAGTATTTTTGCTTTTCCTCTTCCAAAAAGATTCCTAATTTTTATAAATTTCCTGATTCCTAATTCATTTAACCCTTCCTCAGCTTCTTCGTCTTGACTTCTATCCAAAGTTTTTTTTAGATAAAGAGAAAATTTTTTATCAGTATTTATTTTGATCAGATGCAAGTTTTTAATTTTTCTAAAATTTTATAGTTACCTTTCCATTTTTTATTTGTTAAATTGGCCAAAAAAAGAAATGAAACAATTGTTTTCTTAAATCTCTGTAAAATATCATCTTTGTATAGTCTTGGATACTATGAGCAGTTATAAAATTATTACTAAATGTACTCCAATCATATTGAATTAAGATAACAGCACAACTATCATCAAGATTGCATTTCATTATATTGATTATTTCTTCGTTTACCATTACTTAGAGTTCTAAAGATATCTGTTTTCTATTCTATAGGTAGTCAAGTAAAGTTTTTTTACTATGTTGAATGGTATATTTGTTAAAAAAACAACCTTCTAACCTGCAAATCCAGTTCATTCTTCTGATTACTTGTTATTGAAGTAACAAATTTAGAAACGGATGTTTGCTGTTGCATCGTCATTGCAGTTAAATGAACAATTAACGAAGATTTACTAATAAAGCTAAAGTAACCTTGATCATTATCTTCTGATTGGTTAGACTTGTTCGGTGCTGCAGATGTAAATGGTCTTGACTCTAAAACTGATGTATCGCTAAATACTTCTGCAGAATTCTTAGTGTCTCTTTTTGTCTTACTTCTGAATTTATAAAAATGGATCTTAACTCTCACTACTTTTTTTAATTATTTTCTTTTTGCAATAATTACATATTAATCTACTTGGTTGATCACATAATATGATCACTTCATTCAACCGACTAGCCTATATTTTCCCTCTAATTGATACTTTGACATGGTAATGTCAAATAAAGACGTATAGTTCAATTCTATTTTAAATTTGACTAAAAAAATAACTCAGTTAAACAATAAATTTATATTAGAAAAAAATGCAATCTGATTATAAATAAGGCTTTGTATAAGAAAATATAACTCAAAAAAAATGATAAATAGCTTTTAAATTACTATAAATTTATCAAACTTTGTTATTAAAGATTTGTACGCAACTACCAAAAACCAAATAACCCACCCAAAAACCCACCCAGAAACCCAGGTGGGTTAGGTTTTTGCTCAAAAACCCTGGTTTTTGCCAACCCTGGTTTTTAACAATGCTTTCATTAACTTGTCGTCTATGTCTGTTTGTTCGTCTGTGAGCATCAAATCTTGCAATCAGTTATTGAGTCACGTCCTGATGATCAATTTTCTTTAATTTTGCATACTCTTGTTTGATGACAATGTAATATTTAAAAATTAGTTTCGTAAGAAGTCAATTAATTTAGGTAATTTTAATTAAGTTTACTCTTAATATGGATAAAAAAAATTTATATAAGTATACTGACTGATTTTTTTTTTACAGAGGCATACAGCCGAATATTAATAAAATATAATAATAACATCAGAAAAAATTGAGTGGAAAATTAATAACATATAAAAGCATTGGGATTTAAAAAATCGTTTTTAAGCCTTGGCGCAGTGGTAGCGCACTTGCTTCAGAAACGTAAGATCCGTGGTTCAAACCCCACTTCTGGGTAAGTTTTGCGACATCGGTTGGGAAGGAGGCGCGAACTTCCTATTAAATGCTCTTTCGTGGTGCTCTGTGATAAGACCGTAAGGACTTCTTAGGGCACCTTAATCAACTTTAAAAAAAAAAAAAAAAACTTTTCATGTTTCATAATTAGTACTTTTGAAACTAAAACAATTAAATTCAATTGTCCAATTACCGCTATTAATCGCAAACTTAAGTTATCTTCGTCTTTCTTCAGGTTTAATTATGTATTTAAAATTGAATAAAGCCAATCATAAAAGTCAATAAAAACATAGTTAATATAACTTTTCAGTAAATAGGGCACGTCCTGTTTTGCCTAAGTTTCTATCTACACGCTTTCGCTCAATGGTTCATATTGGAATACAGTGTTTATGATAAATAATTAATGTGCGGCACAGATTTAATACAGTGTAGTTCATTGAATTTATAAAATGCCAAATTATAACATTTTCGCTTCCTTCGTTTATTGACTTAAATTGTCCTAAGTCGTAAAGCATATTGTTGCTAAAATCTTTTTTCATGTGAAACGCGAAAGCATCGTGGGAGCCAATATAGAAAGAATTAACGTTGCACGTTCCGTAATTTCCGTAATTTTTTTTTTGCCCATCGCAAACAGGTTTAGGTCGGCAGTTAGGTCGACATTGCCAAATGACGACTCTTATTCCAAGGCTTGAATTACATGTAATTAAAATTTGAAATTATATTTTTTCTAGAAATTATCAAATGTAATTATTGTTTTATAGAGTGCAATAAATGCAATAAAAATCAATCAACATCACATTTTTCTCATACCCATGATTTAGATATAAAAAAGGCAAACCATGTTATAATATGGTAGCTGTAATTGAAATAACATCTAATGTTTTTGTTGTGCATTAAACATTTCAGCTTTTTTTTCTTTCTTGTTTTTAAGTAAGCATGTTTGATTTTAAATGACTTTACTTGTTTTTTAGATTTGCTAATGTATTTTGTCACTCTGGGATCAAGGCAAAAAAAAAGATTTCACATTCTAATGAAAAAATTTATTTTAGAAAATTTGAATTGTATTTGATGTTTTGTAGAGTGAAATATGTGCAACAAAAAGTCAATCACTATCGTGTACTTTGTCTCCTATTCATGACTTAGATGTAAAAAAGGTAAATTACGTTATAATGAGTTACATGTTTTTTTTTTTTTTTTTTTTTTTTTTTAACAATTTCACTTCCAACAAGGCTGCAAGCAACCACTATAAGAGTTGGAAGATACTGGAAGAGAAAAGACTAAATCTGTAGAGCAAGATAACGATTGACTGATGACTTAAAAGATTGCAAATTAAATGAATCAGGAAAGCAAGATGAAGGAAGCGAATTCCAAAGAACTGATGTTCGAGGAAAAAAACTAGAAGAATAAGAGTTTTTGAAGCACTTAGGAACAGTCACAGAAAAAGGATGAGACTTAATTGAATGGCGAGTAACACGAGAATGAATTTTAGTAGATGGCACAAGGGATGCTAGCTCTTTAGAGCAGTGCCCATTATAGTATTTGTAGAAAAGAGAAAGAGAAGCAACATTACGACGATGTGACAAAGGTTGGAGATTGGCTGCCAGAGCAAGTCCAACTATGTTTACAATTCGTTTTTGCACCTTGTCTAAAAGAGAAAGAGCATCATTAGAAGATCCGCCCCAGATGTGGCAACAGTATTCCATACAGGGACGGATTTGAGATTTATAGAGATAGAGAATAGAATCTGGAGTAAGAAAGTGTCGAGCTCGATAAAGAGATGCAACCTTAGCAGATGCTAATTTTCCAATGGATTTGATATACGGTTTAAAAGAAAGATCAGAAGTAAGAGTTAATCCTAGAAGATGAATGGTAGATGACTCATCTAGTACATTACCATTCATAAATATAGGAAGATCTAAATTATTACGATAACGATTGGCCGAATAAAATTGAGTTTTATCTGAATTAAAGTTCACCAGCCACTGTGAGCCCCATGCTGTAGCAGAAGTGAGATCCTTTTCAAGCTCAGATACCCCCTCCAAGCAATCAGAGAGTGTAGGCTTCTTATCATGACAAGAGTAAATGGTAGTGTCGTCAGCGAATAATGCCACCTTAGATGTGAGCATATCTGGAAGATCGTTAATGTAAATTAAAAAGAGTAATTAAAATTAAAAATTGTAATTAAAATTAAAAATTACATTTTTTCTAGAAATTATCAAATGTTATTATAGTTTTATAGAGTGAAATATATGCAATAAAAAATCAATCACCATCACATACTTTATCTCATACCCATGGTTCTGATATAAAAAAGGTAATCTTAGTTATAATGAGGTAGCTGTAATTAAAATAACATCTAATATTTTTGTTGTGCATTAAATGTTTCAGCTTTTTTTTCTTACTTGTTTTTAAGTAAGCATGTTTAATTTTAAATGGCTTTACTTGTTTTTGAGATTTGCTAATATATTTTGTCACTCTGGGATCAAGGCAAAAAAAAAAAAGATGTAATATTCTAATGAAAAAATTCATTTTAGAAAATTTTAAATTGTATTTGATGTTTTGAAGAGTGTAATATGTGCATAAAAAGTCAATCACTATTGTGTACTTTGTCTCCTATTCATGACTTAGATGTAAAAAAGATAAATTACGTTATAATGAGTTACATGTAATTAAAATTAAAAATTACATTTTTTCTAGAAATTATCAAATGTTATTATTGTTTTATAGAGTGAAATATATGCAATAAAAAATCAATTACCATCACATACTTATCATCACATCACATCATACATATCATACATACATCACATCATACATACATCATACATACATCACATCATACATACATCACATCATACATACATCACATCATACATACATCACATCATACATACATCACATCATACATACATCACATCATACATACATCACATCATACATACATCACATCATACATACATCACATCACATATCATACCCATGGTTTAGATAAAAATAAGGTAATCTAAGTTATAATGGGGTAGCTGTAATTGAAATAACATCTAATGTTTTTGTTGCGCATTAAACATTTCAGCTTTTTTTTCTTTCTTGTTTTTAAGTAAGCATGTTTGATTTTAAATGACTTTACTTGTTTTTAAGATTTGCTAATGTATTTTGTCACTTTGGGATCAAGGCATAAAAAAAAGGTGTCAGTTTTTACTTATTTTAACATTTTTTACTTGAAACTACGAAATATACTTTTTATTTTATAGAGTGCAATATATGCAAAAAAGAATCGATCACCATCACATACTTTGTCTCATACCCATGATTTAGATATAAAAAAGGTAAATTATGTTATAATGGGGTGGCTGTAAATGACATAAGATCTCATGTTTTTGTTTTGTATTAAACAAATCAATTTTTTCCTCTTATATATTATTAAGTGTGTTCAAATTTAGATGATTTTATTTTTTATTGAGATTTGCTAGTTTATTATATCACTATGGAATAATGGCTTAAAAAGATGTCATTTTCATCTTAAATTTGCATTTTTTACTAGAATTTATCAAATGTATTTTTTTATTTTATAGAGTGCAATAGATGCAAGAAAGAATCGATCACCATCGCGTACTTTGTCTCATACCCATGATTTAGATATAAAAAAGGTAAATTCTGTTATAATGGTCTAGCTTAAATTGAGATAAGATCTAGTTTTTTTGTTGTGCATTGAATAATTCAACTATTTTTTCCATCTTGTTTTAAAGTAAGCGTGTTTATTTTTAGATGACTTTGCTTTTTTTTTGAGATTTGCTAATTTATTTTGAGATTTGCTAATTTATTTTGTCACTCTGGGATAACTGTTGAATAAGATGTCAGTTTTAACTTAAATTTACATTTTATACTAGAAATTATTAAATGTACTTTTAATTTTATAGAGTGCAATATATGCAACAAAGTATCGATCACCGTCGCATTTTTTGTCTCATACCCATGATTTAGATATAAAAAAGGTAAATTATGTTATAATGGGCTAGCTGTATATAAAATAAGTTCTAATGCTTTTGATTTGCATTAAATAATTTAGAGTTTTTTTCTCTTGTTTTTAAGTAAGCTCGTTTAAATTTAGATATTATTGCTTGTAATTGAGATTTTCTTATGTATTTTGTCATTCTAAGATGTCAAGTTTCAATTTAAAATTTCATTTTTTACTATAAATTATCATGTATTATTTTTTACTATAAATTATAATGTACTTGTTGGTATATAGAGTGCTATATATGCAACAAAAAATTGATCATCATTGCGTTTTTTGCCTCATACCCATGGTTTAGATATGAAATAGTTAATTCATGTTATGATTGGCTGGCTCTTATAAATATAAGATCTCTTGCTTTTTTTTTTTTTTTATATAAGCATGTTTAATTTCAGGAGAATTTACTTGTTTTTGAGATTTGCTAATGTATATTGTCACTCTGGGATCAAGGCAAAAAAAAAGATGTCATATTCTAATGAAAGAATTTGTTTTAGAAAATTTTGAATTGTATTTGTTGTTTTATAGAGTGAAATATATGCAACAAAAATTCAATCACTATCGTGTACTTTGTCTCCTACCCATGATTTAGATGTAAAAAAGGTAAATTTTGTTATACTGAATTTCATGTAATTGAAATTCAAAGTTAAATTTTTTCTAGTAATTATTAAATGTAATTATTGTTTTTAAGAGTTTTAGCTTGTTTAACTTCACAAATATTTTGTAATTTATAGAAAAAAATCGCTGGCGGTAAATTTGAACCACGACTATTACGTTCAGAGGCTTAGCGCGCTAACCACTCGGCCACGCTGACACATCAAATATCGAAATTTTAAAAATATATAAAAACTGTTTTTAACGGAATTGCTGTAGATCAAAAAATTAGGAGAGGTTGAAGCAATGCAATTTTTAAGTCAAAGTCAAAGTATAAAACTAACAAAGTATAAAAATGTTTCAGTATGTTTTATCATTACTTAATTACGTACGTTAGATATTTGCATACACGTTTTCTTCTAAAAAAAGTGTTGCGACTCTTTCTACTAACACTACTATTAAGTTTGGCATTATTATATAGATAGATTATAAAATAGTTTTTCACTTAAAAGGACAAACTCTATTCCACATTAACCTTATCTCTATTTCTCCCTCTAATATTTTTTAGTGAACAATAGATTATGTGGTAGAAAAAAAAAAAAAAATTCACATATGCACCTTTTCCGTATATTTATATTTAGAGCTTAACATGAAGAAGGTAAATCATTTAGTTCAAGACAACCTGCCCAAACCCAAATCCTCTGTTGATTTATGCACACTCACTGTCGCTAGGCGTGTAAAATAAGTAGCTAGGCAAGTCAAATAAATTAATTGATCTGTTTTTCTGCATAAAACAAAAACAGAAAATGTGAAGTACTTGATATAAGGAACCGTAATATTGGATTTAGTTAATTCAATACAAAGTGATAGGAAACTGCAAAATATGGTAGCAACGTGAAAATTATTCAAATACTAATTTACAACAGTTTGTATTGCGTTTTATTAAAATAGCTTTATTAAATAGTATGAAGATTGATGATTCTTCTTCTTCGCCTTTAGAAAATGATTAACGGTTTGAAAGACTTTTAAATTGATTATAAAAGCATTATCTAAAAATGAAATAAAATCATTATTAATAACACTGAACGCACATTTATTTGTTTTGTGTTAATTCATTTGAAAAATGAAAAATACAAAACGAAATTTAGTAATATTAAATAAATATTAGACACTTACTTTGTGAGAGTGCTTTTGTAAAAGTCTCTAATATTTGGTTGGAAGGCTGGAAATACTCTTTTTTTTTTTTTAAATTCAGTTTTATCAGCATTGCTAAAGATAAAAATTGTTACTGACACAAAAAAATTAGGCTTTTTCTTAAAATATTTCTTGGCTTTTAGTGAATGATTGGGAGTAAGTTTCAGTAATGAAGCTACCCAATAATCATTTTTAACAATAGACACCAACGTGAAGGTAAGCCAAGCTGTCTATGAACACAAAACAGAACAACAATATTACAGGATGACAAACAATAACACCAGTAGTGTAGGCAGGATTTTTGTTGTTTCAGATATATAGAATTATTTTTTGTTTGGAATTTGTTGTTTCAGATATTTAGAATATATAGTGTAGGCATGATTTTTGTTGTTTCAGATATATAGAATTATTTTTTGTTTGGAATTTGTTGTTTCAGATATATAGAATATATAGTGTAGGCAGGATTTTTGTAGTTTCAGATATATTTAGAAGCTGTTGAAGAGTTTAACTTTGTTAAGTCTAAAAAAATTCAGGTTAGGAAAAACACTTTTTTTAAACATTTGTTCCTAAGCTTTAACAACATCAATTTTTTGCAAAGTTTTTTAATTCTATAAACGTGAATACACTTAAGTTTGGTTGAAAGTGCTATCTGAAGCATCAAAAAAGACCCTGCCAGTGCTACTGAATACACATAGCATAAAATGTTTGTACATAACACAAAATATTCAGATTATGTGTTTCCAGAATAATTAAAAAAGCTAGACAACACAACCTAGCTCAACACTTGTAACACCACTTGGCACTAAACGCTGCCAAGTAACACCACAATTTAGTAACACCGCTTGGCATTAAGTGCCAAGTAACATCATTAGTAACACCGCTTGGCTAGCAAGAATCACAATCTTGCACTACACGTTGCCAAGTACGTTGCCACTTTTCACATGGAAACAACTTAATATAAAATTATATAAACTTAAGCACATAAATATAAATAAAGATATATAAACGAATATCTTATTAATTTTTTGCTATACTAATCTAAAATGAACAAAAACAATAAAGTGCTATTTATCAGTTTAAACCTATGAAACTATGTGTATAGCGTCTAATAAAATTTGTGAACAAAAGATATAACTAAACTGGTTTGAAACAGAAAAAAAGCCAGAAGTATCTTGTAATAACACAGTATATTGTAAGAAATAAAACAGTATTTTTTGAAACAAATAAAAAAAATTTTATTATTTTAAAAGTCATATTAATGGTAATGTTAAAAAGCAAAATTAGTTACAAATTTTTAAATGACATGCCAACAGTTGCAAACATGTTGCATCATATAGACCACATGTGGCTGACAACTGATTTTAAATACTATTTTATAATATATCTAAAGACAATAATGTAAAGAGATTAATAGGTGTATATTGCATATATTAGACATATTAAACAGATATCATAGAAAAAGAAAAACTTTAAATATATTTACCAAATCTTTCAAAAACTATATAACACTTAACAAATAAAAGTTAATACAAAAGAAAATTTAGTATTATTAAAATTAAAAATGAGGATAAAAAGATGTAAAAACGTAAATTAATAAAAAAACTTATAGACAAATTATTAAAAACTTTTATAACATAAGAGTTCTTTGTAAGTTTAAAATTTAAAAACAGAATTAAAAATCAAAAAAATAAAATAGTAAAAGTATATAAATTAAAATAATAAAAAGTTGCGAAATTAAAAAAAACATTTTTTTAAAAAGTCAATTTTCTTTATAAATAAAAAAGAAGATAATTCTACCAGTAGTTTAAAAAAGCTACTGGTAGAAATTAAAAGAGTTAAACCGCTTTCCAGCACCCCTCCTTCTACCAGTGGTGTCATATGGGGCTTGTCTCCTCCATCTAAAGGATGGATCATCTCCCCCATATTGACTCCACCGGTAAAAAGCTCTTGGAGATATTGGACCTGGGTGCTGGGAGCGATATTGCAGGAAATCTTGATGCGATGCTAAAAAACAAAAACAAAAAAAGAAAGAAATTTGAATACAATACTGCACAAAACAACCAATAAAAATATTATTTAAAACTATTTAGACTTCAAAAAAAAAAAAGTTATGACAAAAAAAATAAATAAATAAAGTAATGTAAAAATAAGGATATGCAATGTTTAAATTTCATATATACCTACACAAATACACATAACACCCACAAAACTGCATAACTATGCAAAACAGATTACCTGATGGTCCTGCAGATATTGTTGCTATTATGGAAATAAATAAAAAAGTATATGAACTACCCACTGAGAAAAAAGAGCTCTGGAAGAGCTCCTGGAACTCTATGATAAGCTCCGTTAGTAGAGTAGATTAAAGAGTAAATTTTATAATGCCTATATATTGAATCAGTTTCACTTTTTATATAAAAATTATACACTCTATGCAATAGTTAGCACCTTTAAGTAATGTATTAGATTTTTCGTGTGCATGATATTAATTTTTAGTTTAGTCGTTTAAATGATGTTATAGTTGGTAGGGTTCTTCTTTGCAGAACTCTTCCGAAAGAGCATTTGCAAAAATGCGCTAATTGTTGCATTAAAGCGCATGCGCATGTTTTTAACAGCGCATGTTTTTAACAGTTTCATGAAATTTAATTGTTAAAAAGCAGAAATATGTATTGATATGCAATTTTATTTTCTGTGATCAAATTCTTTAAAGTTTATGCAATATGTATTTGTAAAACAATGTTTATTGCTCGTATACGATATAATGAATTAGGATTTAAAGTTTATGTTCATAAATATGTTTTGAATTTAATATATAATTGTCAGCAAATAATGTTACAAGTTTTTTTTATTTATATAGTTTTTCAGTTTTTATTGCTGATTTACTCCAAATAACAGTTGTATACAGACCAGCGTTTAAAGGTATGTAAATTTTTATAACTCTACTGTAAATTTTTGTTCAGAATAAATTAACAATAATGTAAAATATCAACTAAATAAAAAGAAAGTGTTATTAAAATTTTAACTATAGTTTGCACTAGATGTTTTAAATAATATGTTAAAATTTTTACTATTATTACATAATTATATATCATTCATCATATAAATTTTTATATTTTGACAATAAATCATTTTTGCAGCTAATATGCACAAGAGAGTTTCATTTCATAAGCTATCACGCTCACAGGCCTACAAAAGATTAAAGTATTACAGAGAGCAAGCTGCAATAAATCATAGCTCTGATACAGACTCAAACAGTGGCAATGTAGATTTTGAGATCTTGGTTACTGAAATACCTCTTCATCAACTAGTTGATTCACCTTCACTAGTATTGCAACCTATGCAGATACCACTTCCTCAACCACTCACTTCCCAAACACAAGTTCCTCATACTCCTCTGCCTCCTATACTAGATGATTCATCAGATGAACCTGTCTCTTTTTCAAGTGACGAAAAAATAAATATTAAACAAGAGTTGGCAACCTTTGTGGTGGAGTCTGCTTTACCTGAAAGTGCAACAAATAAACTATTAAAGCAGCTAAGAAAGCATAAGTGTTTCAATGATGAATTACCAAAAACACGTAAAGCCTTGCTAAGAACTCTTACAGATAGAATTGTGCTACGAGAGGTTCCCCCTGGTCATTACTATCACTTTGGAATCAGAGCAGGATTAATTCAATCAATTCAAGAAACAAATGATATTTTGGAAAATAATAGTACTCTTGAAATATTAATAAACATTGATGGTATTAGTATTAGTAAAAGCAGTACAAGCCAGTTCATGTCAATATTGGGGAAAGTGAATAATTTAGATTTAGTCTCTGTCTTTAAAATCGGTGTATATCATGGACTTAAAAAACCTGATTCATTAAATTTATACCTAAGTGATTTTGTTGAAGAATGCATTGAACTGTCCAACAAGGGGATTGATTTTGAAAATAAACAATTTAATGTTCGAATAAGTGGTTTTGTTTGTGACCTTCCAGCTAAAAATTTCATCCTTAATACAATTGGACATACAGGGGAATGTTCCTGTACAAAATGTGAAGTGATCGGAGAAAGAATAAACAACAGACAGGCTTTCTTGGAGATTGACGCAGCGCTTAGAACAGATGCATCCTTTAGAGCTAGGCAACAGCCGGAACATCACCATGGTGAAACACCCCTTGAGCAAATACCTTTCTTAGATATAGTAACTATGGTAGTTATTGACCCTATGCACCAAATTTACATTGGCACCGTAAAAAAAATTTTAAAAGAGTTATTCGGAAAAGCGCCATCTGTAAATAAGCTTAATATAAGAATAAGAGCCAAAGTCTCTGATAAAATCATGACCATTAGTAATGAAATCCCATTGGAGTTTCAACGTCGCCCTCGAGAACTAACATACTTAGCATTATTCAAAGCCACAGAATTTCGTCTTTTTTTACTTTATATTGGTCCTCTTGTTATGAAAAAAATACTTGATGGTTTGCAAAGAAATGAAGCTCTATATTGTCATTTTTTAAATTTACATGTTGCAACAAGTATTCTTGCTAGACAAGCAACTCCTCCTGAGATTGCATATTGTGAAAAATTACTTAAAAATTTTGTTTCTGATTTTTCTATGCTATATGGAAACTATCTTGTGAGTGCTAATATCCACTCTCTAATCCATATAGCTAATGATGTGAGGAAATTTGGGCCGATTGAAAAATACTCTGCATTTGTGTTTGAGAATGCAAATAGGTATATTCGAAATATGCTGAAGACATCACCTAACCCATTACAACAGATAGTAAAGCGTGAACATGAAAGAAAGATAAATTTACCTGTAAAAAAGTCCAATAAATTTAAAAATATTGAGTTTTCAAAACAACACATAAAGGGTCCACTCATAGATGCAACCAATGGACCGCAATACACATCAGTAAAATTTGAAACTTTCACCTTAAAATGTAGTAGTCCCAACAGCTGCTTTATGACAAGCGAAAATGAGGTTTTCATATTGGAGAATATCGCTCGATCAACAGAAAGCAATCAACGTATCCTGATTGCAAGAAAGTTTACTAGGCTTCTTGATTTATATGTATTTCCGTGTAGATCTTCAAACCTAAATATTTATTTAGCCATGCACTTGGGTGCACTGCAAATTGTCCAACTTCAAATAGTGAAAGCCAAATGTGTCAAACTTACTAGCGATGACAATTCATTTGCAATTTTTCCACTTATACATTGTTAATAAACTTTAAACTCATTTAAATTTGCATGTATTACATAAAATATATGAGAAAAAAAAGTAAATATTTGTGTGTATATTTATGTGTATATTATATAAATACTGCATAGTTATATTTATTCTTTTTATATCAAATGATGGTATAAATATGTGAAGTGTGCAGGGTATTAGCCAACACAATCGCACTGGGGGATTCCCAATGGGTTTATAATTCCCAATATTTTAATGACCTTTTTTTTTTTTTTTTTTGTTGTTGTTGAAGTAATAGGACAATATCAATAAAAAATTTCCAATATTTTGTAGAACAACAGTTTATATTTCCAATATCATAAAAACGCAGTAAAAATAAATTCACAACACATCAGGCTAACACCCTGATGTGTTTTGAATAAAGTCAATATATAGGAAAAAGTATATATAATATATAAAATTTTTAAAAACTATAAGAATTATATAATCTTTAAAGAATTTTAATTCGTTTCTCCAGATGTCAAGAAATTATGTTGCATTTCGGTTCAAAACACCATATCTGCATTCAATGTATGCCCCAATGGCCTGGTTAGCAGACTCTGCAAATTGTTATTGGCCTTGCAATCTAACAGAGGAAGAAGAAGAGAAGTTAATTGAATCTTGTGTTGAACCTCTTACTGGAGTATATGAGTGGCAGCTCTACCAGGGTAGTATTCTAAGAAAGAATAGTAAGTATAAAAAAAGATTATTTAAATACTGCTAGTTATGCCAAGTTTAAAATTATGAATTTTGTTAAAACCAAATGAAAAAAAAATAATGTATTACTTATAAAAACTTACAAAGCTTTTTAAAGCAATTTTATTTTAAACAAGCTTTTTTTGGGGAAAAATTGATTTAAAGATATTTTCAAGAAGTTTAAATGTAATAAAAGTTTAATGAAGATAAAAACTTAATAAAAAATAAAAACAAATCGATATTGTTTTTTTAATTGCTGTTGTGAAATGTTTTCAGTATCTCATATTTAAACAAGATATAATTTTTGCTTGCAGTTTCACTTTCAGAAGCCAAGAGTAAGGCAGCTCTAGACAAGAAAAATACATTCGTGGGTAATGTAACAACTACTGAAGATGAAGCGCAACCAAAAAGAAAGGTTCGCTTATCAGCTAAGGCCAGGGATTTACTGCATCCTGCTTATTGGGACAATAAGGAGGAAGAAAATGAGAACAATTTTAGATTGTCTCCAGCTCCACCATTTCCAACTTACAAGCGAAAGAACACAGTGGAAAACAATGCAGGCATGTTTAGTTAAAGTTTAATATATTTATTTTGAAATTTTCATCCAATTTACTTTAAATTACACAATTTAAATACAATTAAAATAATGTTAAAAAAAAAAAATTACACAAGATGCTTTTTTTTAAAAAAACATAATTTGAGGCTGTTTTTTAAAGTGCAATGAAAATCATTGTATTAAAGATGACATATTTTAAATTAATAAAATGTTATAATGAAAGCTTATATAATTTTTATACAGTTTTGATATTAACATTTATGCTTTTGTTGCAATGCTTTTGTACAGATAATCGAAAGTCAATGGAGATCACCCACACTGCAAAAAAAAAATATAGTAAAATCTTGTCTTCTCCTGAAATTAATGTTACTTATACTCCTGAAACCTCAGCAGACAAACAACTCACTCTCCAAATCACAAGTGAAAATAGAAATAAATCTCTTGAAATCTTTTCTCACCAAATAGGTAATGTGAGCCGAAACATTTATTTAAACGAACAGTAAAATTAAACATTTTTGAGATTTTTCTATTAAAAATAGTTACAATTTACATGCATTGAATCATCTGTTTTTTATATATAATTATATGTTGTTGTTTTTTTTAGTATTAGGATTAAAATTATTTTGTTAATAGAATAAACAAAAATTAAAATACAAATTTTAATGTTTCACAACAAGGATCTTTATCCGTAGAAAAGTGTGCATGAATTATATTGAGTTTATATAACAAATAAAAACTGTTTTTTTTTTAATGTTTTTTTTAAATGCAAGTAACAATCTTTAAAACTTTTTATTGTAAATTTTTTTTTTAGAATCCAATGTCACCTCTGGATCTTCAATGTTTGAAGATATGTATCCTTCTGTTATGAATAGAGTACAAAGTTCTACTGACAGGGGTATACAGCTTATTTCAACATTAATGAGGACTCGGGGGAGCCTCAGTAAAAGAGGAAGGTTATCATAAGAGACTAATTTTTGTTATTATGCAATTAAATTAAAAAGTTTTTATTATCATGTGTAATTTTTGTGGAATAAACAAAAAATAAATTTCAATTAGTAACATTTCCCAAAAATGAATGATCTTTTTTTGTTGTTGTTGTTGTTGAAGTAATAGGACAATATCAATAAAATTTCCAATATTTTGTTTAGTAATAATTAATATTCCCAATATGATAAAAAATCGTAAACTCTGGCTAAAAAGTATTTGATATTTTGATATCATTTTAAAAGAAAAAGTTTATTCTTTTTCTCAAAATAGGTGTTTTAGAGCTTGAATTTATGATTAAAATTTAATTTTTCTTTTTTTTTTTTAGCATCCAGTACTTCTAGATTGTCTGTGTTAGGGAACTGGTCCCCTGCCAAGAGTAGAGAACAAAGTCCTACTGCCATGGCTGCAGGACTTACTTCATCACCAATCAGGACTAGTAGCCCCAACATAAGAGGTAGGAAGTGATTAGTAAAAGACTGAGTTTTAGTTACTTAGCATAAGTAGTAATATATATATAATTTAAAAACTTTTTAACATGTTTCATCAATAACAATTGTTATTGATGATTAAACCAAATAAAACAAAAAAATACATAAACCTTAAAAACTTAATAGTACATAGTTTTCTTTGTTAAATCAGAAGTCTAAAGGATTAAATTTTTTTTTGTAAAGTAACAGCTGATGCTGACTCTGATGTGTGGTGTAATGGAACCTTGGAAAATTTGTATAAACACCGAAAGAAAGCTAGTGATATGTCTCAAACAGGTAGTGTATATAAGGTGTATAATTTGTGTGATCATTGTGTTTTTATTTTTTACATAACAAATATACTCTGTCAATAACAACTTATAACATAAGCTTAACTGTGAATAGGTATTAAACTTTGTTTTATAGTTTTGTGTGTGCATGATTAAAATACTAAATAATTTTTGTTTTTTTAGAATTTAATCAGCACATGCTGAATTTTACCTATGTAGTAATGGATGCACTTAATATAAACACTGTTTTACGCAATAGAAAGCGTTCTGCAAGTTCTAAAAGCCAAACAAACAGACACTCCTCTGATGATGATGCAGTTGAGGATGATTCTGTTTTAGGACGCCTGCCTATGACCACAAAAGAACAATATTATAAGCTGGAGGAAAAACTGAAAAATGAATCTTTTGTCAAAACTTGGGTAAGCTGGATACATATTTTCTTTGTATAGTTAAAGTCATTATTTACAAAATGAAATTTATTATTATGTTATTAAAATGTAGTGAGTCTTCAGTGATCTAATCTCACTCTAATATAAGCTAATATAAGTCTATCTAGATCTTAAATCTGGACTTTTTGTTATTATTAATAATTTTTTTTCATTCTTAAAGTGTTTTCTTGTTATGTATGTCAGGCAGCTTAAAAATCTGCTCTCTTGCAAATAATCTAATAATTATCTTCATTCACTTAACTATGTAGAATGTGAAATGTCAAATTATACAGTTTAAATTCTAAATTACATTCTTTTTTTGAAACCTTATTGGTATAGCATTATTTATTATGTAAAAAAAAATTTTGTTCTTAATAAAATATTTTTTTCAGAAAAAGTTGCTTTTGGAACGTTTAAAGGCACTCAAGCTTGATACATTAGCTACAACAACTGCAGCTAAAATGATTATGAGTGAAATCTTCTCTCAAGACATGCTGAAAAACATGTGCTATGCTGGGCACAAAACATATAAGGAGAAGAAGATGGCAGTCAAAAATGGAATTGTGTACATCACACTGATAGGTGAGTTGTAACAACTAAACATTTTTCAAATAATATAAATAATAATCAAATAAACAAGCATTGAATATTATAAAATAAATTTAAAATCTTTTCAGCTGTGCTAAAAAAACTGGGACACAAAGACGTAATGAAGATCGAAAAAGGTCTTAAAGACGCCATGTACAAGGCAAATGATAATATTACGAAGGAGATCAGGAAAAAAAAATTGGAATAAAAATTGTTCTTATAAATTTGGCTTTTTTTTACTTTGTTCTTTCCTGTGCGATAATTTATTGCAAACATTTTTGTGGGGGTTTTTTAAGGGCTTTAAGTTTTTTTAGGTGTAGCGTTCCCTGCTTTTCCTTCAATATAAAATACTCGTGCAAGTGATTAGTTATTCAAAATATGAAAGTGTGGATTTAAGAATTGTGATACCATGCATTTAGATGAAAAAAGTATTTTTTGAAGAATGCTCTCATGTTTAGATTTCTTGATAGAGCTCTACAAGAACTCTTTTAAAAGCGCTCTTCGGTACTTTACTAAAAGAGCTCTGTGCGGAGTGTCTCGTAGAAGACCTCTTCGAAGAGCTCCTGGACGAGTTTTAGAAAAACCAAATAAAGAGCTCTTTAAAGAGCTCATTTTTCTCAGTGGGCTAACACATATATTAAACAGTTATGTAATTGCATACAAACATGAAAAAAGTAATGTTTAGGTTTCAATACACATAACACTGCATAAGTACGGAAAAACTGCAGAAGTATGGAAAACACATTACCTGGTGGTACTGCAGTTGATACTGTTGCTATTGCGGAAATAAATAAAAAAGTATATAAACAAACACATATTTTAAACATTTATGTAATTGATAACAAATATGAAAAAAGTAATGTTTAAGTTTTAATACACATAAAACCCATAAAACTGCATAAGTATGCAAAACACATTACTTGATGATACAGCAGATGATATTGATGCTATTGTGAAAGTAAAAAAAAAAAAAAAAAAGTGTATAAAGTAACATATGTTAAACATTTATAAAATTGCATGAAAACATAAAAACATGAAAAAAAAATTAAGTTTCAATACACATAAAACTCATAAAACTGCATGAGTATGCTAAACAGATTAACTGATATTATTGCTTGAGGTGCTAATGTATAGACAAAAAAATAAATAAATAAAGTGATGTGCAAAGTAAGATATGCAATCTTTAAGTTTTACATTAAATTACATCATTACCTAATGGTACTGCAGATGATATTGATGCTACTGTGAAAGTGAAAAAAAAAAAAAGTGTATAAAGTAATATATGTTAAACATTTATGTAATTGATAACAAACATGAAAAAAGTAATGTTTAATTTCAATACACATAACACTCATAAAACTGCATAAGTATGCAAAACACATTAACTGATGATACTGCAGATGATATTGATGCTATTGTAAAGGTAAAAAAAAAAAAGTGTATAAAGTAACATATGTTAAACATTTATGTAATTGCATGGAAACAGTATGGCCTAAGTTTCAATACACATAAAACCCATAAAAGTGAATAAGTATGCTAAACAAATTACCTGATATTATTGCTTGAGGTGCTAATGTATAGACAAAAAAATAAATAAATAAAGTGATGTGCAAAGTAAGATATGCAATCTTTAAGTTTACATTAAATTACATCATTACCTGATGGTACTGCAGATGATATTGATGCTACTGTAAAAGTAAAAAAAAAAAAAGTGTATAAAGTAACATATGTTAAACATTTATGTATTTGCATGAAAACAGTAATGCCTAAGTTTCAATACACATAAAACCCATAAAACTGCATAAGTATGCTAAACAGATTACCTGATATTATTGCTTGAGGTGCTAATGTAGAGACAAAAAAATAAATAAATAAAGTAGTTTGCAAATTAAGATATGCTATCTTTAAGTTTTAACACACATAACACTCTTAAAACTGCATAAGAATGCAAAACACATTACCTGATGGTACTGCAGATGACGCTATAGTGGAGGTAAAAAATATATTTACATAAACTAACATATACTAATCAATTAAACAGTTTATTTTAGAGTGATAAAACCGTACACAAACATCAAAAAATGTGTGTTAAAATTAAACAAAAAGAAACAAAAGTGTACTTTGCTTACCAATTGAATTTTCTAAATTTTCTAAATAGAATAAAAAAAAAACTCATTAACATTAGGAAAGAAATTAACATGCAGAATATTTCTCAACTTTAGGAATTCTATAAATAAAGTTGGAACAAAACAAAAGGCAAAAATAACAATCACAAAACAAAACAAACCAAAAAAGAAAAAAGCGACAAAAAAATAAAAAAATGAAAATAAAGAAACAATCCACAAGAACAATATAGTAACTTACTAAGTTGTTGAAATATACGCCCTATAAAAAAAAAATGCTAAAATTTGTATCAAAAAAGCTAAAAGAAAATAGAATACACCTTTTTTTTTGAAAGTAAAATGTTATATCTTTATCTATAATACACAAATGTAATATAATCAAATTCTGTTTACCCATTGAATGTTTTAATTTTTCTAAATAAAATGAAAAACTTATAAACATTAAAATAAACTAACTTGCCAAATATAGAATAACTTTATGTTAAATAAATATGTATTAAAAAAAATAAAGAGCATGACAACATCAATAACAAATTGCTTACTTAGATTCTCAACAGAATCTTCTAATTTTTCTAAATAAAATAAATTTAAAAGTTACAAAAGTCACTTGCTGACTGACAAACTGTCACAACTGACAAAAGTCAGTTGCTAAATAACTTTAAAAAAACTAAAAAAGCATAAATTTATTTGCACACAAAAAAAAACAAAAAACAACAACAAAATTCCTCACCTAGCTTGTCCATTACTTCCGCTAAACATTAAAAAAAAGTTATAATTAACAAATTGCTGAAATTGATGAAATATATATCTTTGTAACATATCCTTCTCATACAAAATTAGCTTACTTGGCAAGAGCTCTTCGGCTCTGATCTCTTGAACATCTAATATATATATATATACAAAATTAATTTTCAAAATATTTACTTTTTCAATTAAACATATAAGATTTGTCTTAAATTATAAAACTGTTGCACAGTTTTATAATTTAACACATTCAGTAAATGACAAAAAGCTTCATTTTACGTAAAAGTTTAGTAGTTAGAAGACTTAAAAGTCAATTTTAGCTTAAACACGTTTTATAAAATTAAAGCTTAAACACCTTAAATAAAGCTTATACGCGTTTTTAAGGTTCACTGCTTTACAAAAACATCAATCAAAATAGCGTAATAAACAAAACCTGAGTTTTGGGTCCACCCTTTTAAAGTTCTAAAAAATAATTTATATATTTTTTAATTTTAGTTAAATTTTAGGGGGGTGTACTTGATTCACGGGGTTAGGAGGTGGGCGGCATATCTTGGTTGATTTTAAATAAAAACGGCTAAATTAAATCATCGTTTTATTCACACCGTAAATCAAGTACAGCTCCGCCACTTTTAGAACATATGTAACTGCTACTATATATATTATATATATATGGCTTACTTCGAAAAAATGCAGAAACTTCTTCGTCGCCTAAAGATATACAAAATTATCTTAATGTGATTTCTTAATAAAATAATAAGCTAAATATCTCAGTATTATTGATGTATCATCTCTTTTTATCTCTTTAATTAATTAATGTTGTACAAAATTAAAAGAATAACTTCTGTATCTTGGCTGCTCATTTCTAAAAAATAATTCTAATGTTTATTCTATTGGGTCAAAAACATATTAACTTCAAACATATTAACATGGTAATTATAAAATAAGTTTAATTTTTTAAATGAAGATTACAATAATTAAACTTGTAGATACAACTTACTTGTCGTCCCTCGCTTTGCAATTGTTACAATCGATATGAAGACCACATGGCCGAGTTTTATTGGTTTTAGAGTACAGTTGGCGCACACATCATAATACAAAAATCAGATGGTTTTGAATCTATTAATTAAGCTGTTTTTATTAACGGATTTGGTGGATTTAATTAGATAACCGCAAGGTAGTTTTACAGTGGTTAAAGAGTTGGCGTACCTTTCGTAATACAAAAATCATTTAATATTTGTTTATATCTTAATATTTGAGCATTTCTATTAGCGGATTAGGCGAAATTTTGTGGGTTTTCTGTTTGTCACCTTCTGGAGTAACTAAATTTTTTTTTTTAGGTTTCAGATTACAATTTTTTTTTCATACCTTTCCGTACTTTTTAGGACTCTTGACCAGTTAGTTTTAATAAAAATTTCAGATTGCATGTAAAACCTTTTTTTTATATATATAAGAAAGAAATTTATCTCTTTAATGTGTGTTGAACTCGCAGTTTTAACTAATTACCTAAAACATAAGTATCTCTATCATGATATATGCGCAACAAATTTCCAACAGCGTTTTTATGTTTTTAAAAATTTTAAAAAACGTTTTAAAAAATTCTCTCCGTTTGGTTTCTTATAGTATATTATATCTTTATTTTTATGTAATGCGTATAACATCTATATGCATTTAAACTTGTTTTTCTTTGTTTTCTAGAAAACTGGATAAGATTAAAAAAAAAAATTGTGTAAGCAAAAGGTTTGGAACCGAAGCGAAGCACTTCAATCGCTGTGGAATGCTATATCATCTTTTTACACTATTTAATAAACAGAAAACTTATTAAACTTTAAAAAACAACATTTAATGCTTTAAAATAAAGAGATATTGTCGCAATGAAATTATTAAGTAAAAATAAATCGGTAGAATTTGATGTCATCTACTTTATAATTATACTGATTGATAATTAAAGAACTTAAAGTTTACATATTTAGATATTTGAATAGACTTTCGTTCACATTGATAAAATACAAATCATAACGGATTGTGGTTCCGAAAAAAAAGGTTAATACACTACCATCTATAATTATTGGAAAGGTCATATTTTTTAATATCAAAGATATCAAAGTTTGGCGAAAAAGTGAAAACAATGTCTACCTGAATTATATGTTATCTTCCTATTTATTAGGTTTACCAATAAAACTTCCCTGATTAGTTTATAATTTATTCAAAGCCTTGATTAGCTTTTAATTTATTTGCCTATTAATCACCCTTAACAACAATAACCGCCATAAATATATTCTTAGCATTCTACTTAACGACTTATCTACTTAGTCTATTTTGTCACTAAGTATTAAAAAAAAAAATACCCATGTATTAAC